GCAAAGGGCCATGCTGCAATCCCTTCTCATCCATTCTCCTCTTGGGGTCTTAGGCATGCACACACTTAGCCAGTGTGATTTTGAAACTACCAGATCTGGGACTCAAACCATGGTTAGCCATGTGGGAGTCCAGTGATATAACAGCTACATCATCTGCTGGCCCCAAAGATTTTATTTTTTAAGAGCAATTTGGGATTCACAGCTAAACTGAGAGGGAGATTGAGATACTTCCCATGTACTCTTCTTCCCTGAGTCATCCATTATTGATAACAGCCACCAGAGTTGTACATTTATTTATTTATTTATTTTTGGAGAGGTTTTTGCTATAGGGCACGTGTGCTTGCCAGAAAGACAGAGAGAGAAAGAGAGACAAAAAGCGAGAAATCACCCCCCCAGGGGGGATGGCCACACTACAATCCCTTCTCCTCCATTTGCCTCTTGGGATCTTGGGCATGCACGCGCATGCACCCGGCATGAGTTTAAGCCTCTCGGTTTGAGACTTGAATCACAGTCGACTACATGGGAGTCCAGTGACATAGCCGTTACACCAACTGCTTGTCCTGCAAAATGTTACATTTATTGCTCTTGGTGAATCTGCTTTGACACATCGTGATCAGCTGGATTCCATAGTTTATATTAGGGCCCACTCTTCGCATTGTACTTTCTACGGGTTTGGACAAATGTCTAATGACATGAATCTCCCATGATAGTATTATACAGAACAGTTTCAGCACCCTAAAAATCTTCTGTGCCCCAACTCCATAGTTTTGCCTTTACCTACATATTATGTAGTTGGAATCATATAGGATGTATCCTTTTTAGTTTGGTTTCTTTCACTTAGAAATATACACTTAAGTTTCCTCCATATCTTTCATGACTTGGTAGTTCATTTCTCTTCTAGGGATGCATCACAGTTCAACCTTCACCTACATCTTGGTTCCTTCCAAGTTTTGGCAATAATGAACGAAGCTGCTATAAACATTGTGGTGGGTTTATGTATGAACCTGAATTTTCAGCTCTTTAAGGTAAATGCCAGGGAGCACAATTGCTGGACCATGTATGTGTTTAGTTTTGTAAGGACTTGACAAACCTACTTTCAAAGTGGCTGTATTTTTGTTTGTTTGTTTATTTATTTATTTATTTAGGTTTTTGTGCTCCTCGAAGAGAGATATAGAGAAGAAAAGTGAGAAATCACTCCCCAGGGTGGTTGATCACATCCCAGTCCCTTCTTCTCCATTCTCCTCTTGGTATTTTGGGCATGCATGCACACACATCCAGAGTGATTTTTCAGGTTGCCAGATCCGGGACTCACTATGGTAACCATGTGGGAGTCCGGTGCCTTAACCACCATGCTACTGCTGGCCCTGTGTTTTTGTTTTTGATAGACTCCACACTGCTTTTCCAGTCCGCTCAGGCTTCATCTCCTAGAGAAGCCTTTCTTCACCCAGAAGTAACCATTCCTTCTTCTGCATACAATTACCCTGGGGCAATATTTTGTATCAATTCAATACTTATTTCTAGGTAGATCTCCCCTCCGAGATCCTTAGTTATTGGAGGTCAAAGTCCAAGTATTATTTATCCTTGTATCTGTAGTGTTCAGGTCAGTGCCTAGTTAGTACATTGTAGGTAACCAATCAGTGGCTGTAGTGGCCTAAACTAATTTATTTAACCAGTGGGCCTTGATAGTTTGATGTTAGTATTCTAAAATCAAAGAGACAGAGCAAATCCATATGCGAACCCCCTCATCCCAATCACAACGTTACCCCAAAATACACATTTATGTACAAGTTGGCTCTAGACACTTGAAAGGTACACTTTGTGATTAAGAGCAATGATACACTCAGACAGGACGATGAAGGCTCCCTGTACAGCTCCACAGTATTATCTGTGTATGGACGACTGGCTTGTAACTACCCATCTAGATCTGAAAGCTGTCTGTTCACATACATGTGTCTGGAAATATGTTAAGGGTTCTTCTGATCCCCTTAATGAAGTGACTTCAAAAAATCTGGCTTTGTACCTTAAAAAACTAAAGAGGCTTAATGAAAGTTAAGAACCAGTGCTCACTCCCCTTTTTAACAATTTAGTACAGAAGTTGGCTTTTTCTCCACGCGGTTGCTGGGTTGTGATACGGCGTCACTGAGCGGGGTACAACAAAATCCGGGATAAAGGCCTTATTATAAAGAATCAGCAGGCTGACAGATGCCGACTGGATAAATGCGGCGGTATTTGCGTACTGGTGGGGAACACAGATACCAACTGCTTAACTTGTTACGTGCACAGTGGTTTCAATGCGAGCTTAGTGTGATCCTTCAGATTCCCAGTTCCTTTACGAGTGAAAGGCATTCCTTAGTTATTTGACATGATAATATGCATAATCTGTCAAAGCAGAAACTTGTTCGTTGCTTTCTGCAGCCTGTAGTGTATGCTACCTTCAGCTAAAATGCCATGAGTTCCGCATAACAGGGATGTGAGGAAACCCTTTAAGAATGTAGCAGAGTTCATCAAAGCCTTTTAGGTGATCTTAAGAGGCTGTTTAATGTATTGCTGATTCACAGAGATGGAAAGGACTGTAGAGAATATAAGTAGAAGTCTCTTGCCTTTGGGTCATGCCACAGAACGCCTTTGAGAAATATAGGTATATGTGAGCCCATTCTTTAAAATCATTTAAGAAGGGAGATTCCTTATCAACATTAATCAATTGCATTTTTTAATAACCTTTCCTAATAGAAACATCTCTCTTACACTGCGACATTTTTCATATTGCAATTTCTCTGCTGAAGTATTCTTTCACAGTAGAGGTGAAGAAAAAGAAATTGCTCATCCTCTTATCACTTAGCAAATATATACAGACTCTCCCAGTCACCACTAGGCATTGTTTCAGTTCTTTTCTCACTTCCAACGCACCGATTATCTTTATTTCTGTCACAATCCCTGTCACGTTCCCCAAATCCACAAATATCAACTTTTGAATCACAACTTTTATGGGTACTCAGTAGTGTGAGTAATGGGGTAGTGACTGCTTGGTCCTGGAGTGTTTTATAGGGTGGACAGTTTTCCAAATGGGATTCTCTTTAAGAAACCAAAATCCATTTACACATCTGTCATGTGGCAGGCACAGTGCTGATTTGTGTAGCCCGTGAACTAGGTTTCCTTTAGATCATTCTGCAAGAATAAAATTAACCCAACCTGGGGAGGTAGAGGAGCCAGTGTACATTTCTCAGGGTTCTAATCCCCAAAGATGTTGGGAGGAGGTTACAGATTTGGGCAGGAATCATCTGGCAAACCAGGAGCAGATGAAGCCTTTCACATGTGTTCACTATCTCTGTGACTTTTTTTTTTTTTTTTTTTTTCTATAGGGTGTGTGCTCTCACCAGAAAGACAGAGAGAAACAGAGAGATATTTTTTTTTTTTTTTTTTTTTTTTGCTATAGGGCGTGTGCGCTCGCCAGACAGAGACAGAGAGACAGAAAGCAAGGAATCACCCCCCCGCCCCAGGGGGGATGGCCATGCCACAATCCCTTCTCCTCTGTTCTCCTCTCGGGATCTTGGGCACGCACACACATGCGCCCAGCATGAGTTTTAAGCCACCGGGTCCGTGAACCGTGGCTGACTACATGGGAGTCCAGTGACATAGCCGTTACACTAACTGTTGGTCCCTATCTCTGTGACTTTTTACATACTTTCCTCCATTGCCATGGCATCCAGAACATGGGGCTGAAAGAACAGGAAGATCATTCAAGCAAGTTCACCATATCAGGCTGGGTTGTAGTTTATCCTCCAGGAGAGAGCCACCTTCACAACATACTTTGAGAAAGTTGCCTAACCTCTATGAGCTTCAGTGCTTTATTTTTATTTTTTTTTTCTGTGATCAATAAAATGGAAATTTTAATTAGTACATTACAGTATCTCCATGAAGATTGAAACAATATATGCAAAGTGATTAGTATATGATAATAGACAACTGTATTATTGTTTCATACCACTGTTTATTTACTACTTAGAGTTTTCTAGGAATCACGTTGCTGTATGTATTTCCTTGTCTTTTAGTCTTCTATCAATCATGACCAAGAGTCCTTCCTTGTACTCGGCTGACGTATGTCAAGTTTTAGGTGACTTTGTTTTTGTTGTTCTTGCTGACTTTTTTCCATGTCCTCTAGGAAGATGGAAAACTTGCTCCTGAACTTGTCAAGTACAGTTCTGGGGCCAGCAGACGACATGGAAGTTAAGATGTTAGATCCCACATGGCTGACTGGGCAGTTTGAGTCCTGGACCCAACAGCTTGGAAATCACACCTAATGTGTGTGCATGTGTGCCCAAAATCCGAAGAGGAGAAGGGGTTGTGGCATAGCTGTACTCCCTGGAGGTGATTTCTTACTTTCTCTCTCTCTGGTGAGTGCACACACCCTCTAGCAAAAGCTAAAACATAAATAACAAAAGCAAAAACATAAATAAATAAAAATGAAAAATTCCTAAACCAAACCAAAACAAAACCCTTGAGTTCTAGGAATAATAATAGGCAATTGTACACTATATATTATACACGTATTATCCATTTCACCCCTCCCTCACCCCATGAAACCATATTAGGAATGACAGAACCAGTCTCAGTGACACACATCAGGGGCCGTACATGAGGTCACATGCATAGAGCTTGGATTCGTCCCCAGGTCTCTCTTGCCACTCTGTCAAGTTGCCCCAGCAAGCTTAGTCTTTCTGTAGGCAGACTAAAGAATTTCTTTTTTCCACTTGGCAACCAACTATTGATAGGGAAACTAAGGTAAACCATTTTAGAAATATAAACCATGTCACCTACTTCAAATCCTTTTTAGAAAGAATAGTAATAATGATAATGTTGGGTTACATGTGAAAGGTGTGTTTAAATATGAGTGGAAAGTTAAACCAATGATTAGTAGTAGTAGGTCCAAATTATTTTAGGTTGGTTAGTTTTGGCCACGTTAGAAGGATTAATATTTTTCACATCATCACACCTTTACTTACAGGTTTAACAGGCTTTAACTCAACATGATCCTGGTAGTAGGAGTGTGTATCAAGTCCACCTATGAAATCAACTGAAAATATAACACAGCCCAATATGAATAAATGTGGAGACAAAACACACATAGTACTAAATGTTTAAAGGAGACTAAATAGGAATAAAATAAACAAGAATATATTTTTACCACAAAACGTAAAAAAAAAAATCTATATTTAGTGTACGGGACTACTAAAATATTGTCTGTGATTAAAAATGAGGGGATATTTTTAAAGATACACAAAGAACCTGGGCTTTTATGATCTGAACATCTTTGTTATTGGTTTCAATAAAAAAACTAAGTAATATTAGATAGCATGGGACTTTAAATGTGTTTGGCCATAGGTATATAGATAATGCCCTTTCTCCCTATACATCAAAAAATATACTTTCTTTTCTTATTGCCAGAATCTTTTTTTTTCTCTTAAGGATATTTATTGCATCATTGGAAAGATTTTTGAGAGGTCATATAATCTACTTCCATGTCTTCTGCTTTCAAGTCACCCCTAAGAAACAAGCATTTGCCTTTTGCAAGACCTTATATCCTCTTGGATAGCATGGGACTTGAACTGTCTGTCCAGACTTTCTAGTCTTGGTAATAGTTTTTCTAATTTCTTTCTGTTTTAATCAAAACCTCAATATTTTTTCCCACTGATAATGTACATGAATGGTCTTAATTTGTTTCTCTGGTTTTATAGTTCATTAAAATATTAGTTTCTTTAAACCAAGGTTGATTGGACTATAGTATTCTCCCATGAACATATTTATGCACCCAGGTATATTCTCGGGTGTGTGTGTGTTCATATTGACTCAGGTACACCTTATGCAAATATTGCATCAGATCCTCAGCTCAAGACAGGCATTGCAATGAACTGTAATTTGCAGTGAGTATGTTAACCTCTTCTGAATTTCTATTGAAGCTCGACTAGCTTTACTCTTGTCAGTTTTTGACCTGTTCTATCCTTTTACTGCCTTTGGAAGAAGTGAAGCAAGCCTCGGCTAATCAAAGGTTCACCAGCATGCTCTGTAGATAGAAGCTTTGGGGGCCTCTGGGCTGTTAGCAGCCAGGTGGCAAGCAGACATTTCCATGCAACCCTCTTGGAGATAAGAAGAGCTGGAACCTATCTAACTTCTACCAGGTACACAAGTTACCTCAACACCACCTTAAGGAGAAAAGTGGTGAAGTGTCAATCTGAGACACAAATTTTTCACTAGAGAATAATCAGTGCTTAAAGCACTTTTTTGTTTTTGTTTTTCTACATGGCATGTGAGTTTCTTGGAGAGAGACAGAGAGAGGAAAAATGAGAAATAACCCCCTAGAGGGGAAGACCACGACACAGCCCCCTCTCTTCCATTCTCCTCTGTGGATTTTGGGCATATACACGCACATGCCTAGTGTGAATATTCCAGGCACTGAGTCCAGGACTCGAACCATGGTTGGCCATGTGGGAGTACCTTAGAATGAACATCTGAAAGGTTTGCTTTTATTCCAGTGCCAGTACCTTAGAATGAACATCTGAAAGGTTTGCTTTTATCCCAGTGCCAGCCACCATACCACCTGCTATTTCCCTTAAAGCACTATTTAAATAGCAAGATTGGACTGAATTTTTATCAGGTTATATATTCAATTAAATCCCCATCACCTTATCCTGTTGACCAAATGGTGAAATTTTAGGAAAATTGCATTAATTAGCAAGATTGGACTGAATTTTTATCAGGTTAGATATTCAATTAAATCCCCATTACCTTATCCTGTTGACCAATTGGTGAAATTTTAGAAGGAGAATTGCATTGACTAAAGATTGAATGACCAGGCCCAGGTGTGGTGGTACAATTTTGTAGGGCTATGTCTGTCTCTCTGTCTTTCTCTTTCTCTCTCATGGAAGAAATAAATACATTAATTAAAAACAACAAATAAACATAAGCTTCATTAAAAGAATCTTTTCTCAAGTCAAGATATTTGAAGAGAAATTGTAAAAACAGGACATTAAGTCTTGTATATATATACTCTTTTGAGAGATTTTTGCTATAAGGTGCATGTGCTCACCCGAGAGACAGCGAGACAGAAAGTGAGAAGTCACCTCCCAGGGAAGATGGCCACATTACAACCCCTTCTCCTCCATTTTCCCCTTGGGATTTTGGGCACGAACACACACGCACTCATGAGTTTTAAGCTGCTGGGTCTAGGACTTGAACTGTGTTTGATTGTGTGGGAGTTCAGCAACATAACCACTAGCCATCTGCTTGTCCTTAAATCTTGTATATTTGAGTTCCCATTATTAATAAACTTCAATGTTTTCCTTTTTATCATTTTTCAAATACTGCAGTTTACTAAAAGCTCTAAAAGGTACCTTTTGGGAGTATATTGTTTGCTAATTAATCAATTATGTTTTTCAATTGATCTTGAATGTAATACAACTAAACTATAGATTTACTTGTAAAAATACAACCATTGTGAGAAACTTGATTTATAAAGTAGCTGTTCAAAGGCTGAAATATTCTGAACTCAGACTGATGAAGAGTAGGAAAGAGAAAGTATATTCTATCATGCTGAAGTTCTTTTTGTTTTCAACATCAGCTTCATCCCCCAAATTTTCTAATTTATTTATTTTAAATGTGTGTATATATATTTATATATATATAAACAGAGTTCTATTTTTATTGGTGGAATATTGAAGCTTTATTGAGATGCATATAAAAGTTACCAGTGCATTTGAATTCAAACAAATTTTTGCTTCATAAGTTTCATAATCTAGTAAGAACACTGTTTTTGTTTTTTGTTTTTTTTTTCTACCCACATGTTTTACTCTACTAGCATTTGTATTTGTATTATTTCCATAAAACAAATAATTCTATCTTTAGTATTTTTAAAGTTTGTTTTTTTTTAAAAAAAAGAATTATTTACTTACTTAATTCAATTTATTAGTAGTAGTACTTAATTTGACCAGAGAGAGACGCAGAGAGAGAAAGAGAAATGGAAAGTGAGAAAGCAAGCTACCAGGTCCAGGACTCAAACCATGGTCGGCCATACAGGAGTCCAGCACCTTAACCACCACACCACCTACCAGCCTCTAGTATTTATTTCTTAATAAAATTGTCATAGCATTAAGAATATCATTGGATGAAATGATCATCTAAAAGGTGTACTCTTATTCCATGAAATATTCCATCAAGAAAGTCATGACATGTTTTTCTGTAACTTTCATGACTTTCCTGATGACCCAATATATTTTAAAAATGATATCTTTATTGAATAAAATAGCTGACATTATAATCTGGCATATAAAACTGACATCATTATTTTACCTCTTTGAGAAACTTCTCTTTCACAAATGGGACAACACATTAACCCATACTTCTGGGTGCTCCCCACTGACCCTAACATTTGTGGTCTGATGGGAGGAGTTGGTGGTAGAGACAACAGCTTCCAGTACTTCTCCCACCTATATCTCAGACTAGAAGGAGTTACCCATGTTTCCACCAACCCTGTCTAAAACTTATTATTATTATTGTTCTTAGTGACTAGCCTGCATGCTCTCTGGAAGGAAATTGCTAGTTATGTTGTATCTTCTAAGTTTTTGGGAAAAGAGAGCAGAGCAGAGTTCTTAGTTTTCTTACAGATTTAACTTTACATTAAGAGAAAAAGTCTCAGACCAGCCTGTGGTGTGGTTGTTTAGGTGGCTGGAGTCCACATGGTTGATTGTGCTGTTTGAGCCCCAAACCCAGAAGCTTGAGAAACATACTAGGCTCATGTGTGTGTGCCCAAAATGCTGAGAAGGAGGAGAAATAGAAGAGAAGGGATTGTGAAGTGGCCATTGCCCATGGGAGGGTGGTTTCTCACTTTTTCTTTCTGGCTTTCTCTGGTGAGCATGTGTGTCCTCTGATAAGTAAAAGACAAGTAAATAAAAATAAAAAGAAGTCTCTTCATGGAACATGCATCTCATATGACTTGAGAAGGCTAAAAGTCTTGTTTGCTTACCCATTTTAGATCTTACTAATACAAATAACAATAATGGTATTTCATTTAAAATTAGAAAATCTATAATAATGTCTAAACCAGACAGACTGTGAGAGTAATTTGTTTAAGTAGAAACTGTTTTGACCAAACTAGGACGTCTGTTCATCCCAGTCAACAATATAAATGAACTGCACTTTGCATATCAGACTCTAGAGCAGTGTAAAATTTGTACACCTCCGAAAATAAAATGTCATTTTCAGATAAAACTTAAATGATCAAGATTCTGAACTAGACAAGACTAACCACAACAACAACAAATGTAACTACAAAGGAGGAATCATTGAGAAGTAGGTCATAAAGAAACTGAAAACCTCACGAATTATTTATAGATGGGACACAGCAATGAGACAAGAAGTTTATAAATTCAGTAGGAGATGATGTTTCCATATCTAAAAAAATTAGTTAGGCATCTATCAACACTTTGAAGTTTATAAATTCAGTAGGAGATGATGTTTTCATATCTAAAAAAATTAGTTTGTTAGGCATCTGTCAACACTTTTCTTTGGCTAGAGTGAAAGATGATAGTTTAAGTAAAGGGGTAAATTAAAGAGAAAATGGAGGTCGAGTTTACAGATTCCTATTTTAAAAATGCTGTTAAATGCTTTAAAAATGAAGACTAACAAAAAGAAGCTTAAATAAAAGACTTTAAAACAGTGCAGTAGAAAAGAATTACAGCTTTTGATTAAGTTTGAAAAAAAAAAGGCAGCCATATTGTACTGATCAAAAAGTGAAGCAACTATGCATTTACAAGAGTAAGATGTGGAATTAAGCTTCGTTCAGTGGAAATAGGGGGATGGATATTAGCGAATGGAAGAGACAAGGACAGGTAGTTCAAAGGTATTAGAAAAGGAGATTAAGAATGGAAACATCCCATGAAACCTGCAGTTGTAACAGCAAGAACACTAGATAAGAATCTTCAGCAGAAAAATGGGCATGGAAGACATGGGGAGATAGAGGGAAAATTGAGGGCATAGGGACTTGCAGTATAGTGAACTCAAATTCTGTGTACTCTGAATATT